TTCTACGCTTTCTTTCACAGATAGTGCCACTCCCCCACCAGCACGACCTGTTCTGTCCTTCCGATATATTTTGTACCCTGGTATTATTGTGTCCCATTGATTATCCTCAGTCCACCAGGTTTTCTGTGATGCCTATTATATCCATATCCTCATTTAATACTAGGCACTCTAGTTCTCCCATCTTATTATTTAGGCTTCTGGCATTGGTATATAAGCCTTTTAAAAACTTGTCATTTTTTGGCTGTCCCCTATTGCATGACGTCATTGAATGGGACTTATTTTCATTTGACTGTTTCTCATGAGATCCTCCCGGTATTTTATCATTTTCCATCCTCTCCTCCTTATTAGGACATAGGGAATCTCCATTTATAGATCCTCCCCTAAGGGATGTCCGAACCACATGCTCCTCCGCACCTGTCGGCTTTCCCCCAGCCCCTTCCCCCACCTTTTCTTGATTACTAGGTGATATCTGGGCATGAATTATTTCTGCTCCAACTTCTTTCTTGTATATCAGTCATTGGTTTATCTTCAATTTCAGCCTTGAATCCAAGACCAGTGAGAAACTAGTGAAACTTCATACAACCATACTCAAAACCTAGCATACCATTTTTCATTTGTGCAATCATTTTCTCTGATAGTATCTGTTACATTCTGGGGTGCAGTCCAGCCCAGTGACCGATTGTGTCACTGTGACAGGGTCCCCAGGGTGCAACCTGGAGTGTGGGACCACTGAGCCCTCCAAACCCACCAACCTGGGCTGTCTCTCACATTGTGATGTTAATGTCAAGCTACAAGCCTCTTATAGGCACTGCCCTTACATAGCCATCCACAGTCAGGGACACACCCCACTGAGTTACATGAATGATCTCCCAGCCACTCATGAACCATCAATAGAAAGGCTTCAGCCAATTCCCCCTAGCTCCCCAGCCTTGCATCCCAGAAATATACCGTCTTGCGTAAGGTTCCCTTGGACAGTGCAACCTCATGAATAAGTTTGCCACTTCTTCATAGGAAAGTAGATATGCACCAGCCTTTGTAATCTGAGCAGAGATTCCCCCAGCACTTCAACCCAAACTGTTTTAAATAAATATAATAAAGCAGATTTGTTAACTAGAGAAAGATTGATTTAAAGCGATTATATGTAGCAGGCACAGAGATCAAAGTTGTTTGCTAAAATGCAGACTGATCTATTCCTGCCAACTTTCATTTGACAGGCCAATCAGTGTTGATGACACCTAACTAGAGGCATTAGATTGTCCTTTGTCTTTGAGAACCAGTTTACTCACTCCCCAGAGATGTCTGGTAAACACACTGTAGTCATAATTTCAGTTTATGTTCATAACTCTTAATCCACATTTTGTACAGACATTAAACAAGAATATTGATCAGCGTGTTAGTTTATAAATGCTACCTCGCAAGGCATATGTTGCACAACAATTATTTCAGTAATGTGTAGGGTGTGAATACAGTGGTGCTTTTGGTAACAGGAATCTCATTGCACATGTTAGAGCAGTCATTGAGTCCTATGCAGGGCCGGCTTTAGGAAGTGCGGGCCCGATTCGGATACCTGGCGGCGGTCCGGGTCTTCGGTGGCATTTCGGCGGCAGGTCCTTCACTTGCTCCGGGTCTTCCACGTCACTGAAGGACCCACTGCCAAAATGCCGCCAAAGAGCGAGTGAAGGACCCGCCGCCGAAGACCCGGACCGCCGCCGGGTGAGTAAAAATTAAAAAGTTAGGCGCTCTTCTTTAGGGTGCGGGGCCCTCTTAGGTGTGGGCGTGGGGCCCTCTTAGGCGCGGGACCCGAATTGGGGGAATCGGCCTAAAGCCAGCCCTGGTCCTATGTCTCGATAGTGATGTAGCTCCCAACCCTTCCTTAGAAGCATCTTGAGTTTTTTCAGTGGGTAAAAGAATTACACCCACAGTGCTGATATCAACATTACAAATCCTTGATCTCTCATGCTTTGGCATCCATGCTCATTTTGTATCTTACTGAAGAAATTTCCTCAGGTGAATAGCTCAAGGTGCAAGTTGTGTATGAACCCACATTGCACAGGTTCCCTTCACAAAAAGAGGAGAGCAGGATGCACGGTGGGAGTTGTCTTTCTGACTATCTGTCAAGGGGTCAGCGGGGTCCGAGGTGCCATTTTGCTTTAAGGGCAGTAGAGGCCAGTGGTGGGATCCTAAGAGGTGCTTCCTCTGGGGGGAGTTAGTAGTGAGAGTCCAACGAGTCGCTCTCTCTGGCAATGGCTTTGCCAAGCGTCCACGAAGCTGCTTTAGCTAGGGGCAGTACCGCCTGGTGGCTAGAGTATGAGTAGCCACTTTAACTAGTGGCAATGCCACCCAATGGTGAGAGTCCAAGTAGGCCTCTTTCCCTGGCAGAGTGCCGCACAATGGCTGGAGTCCCTGTGGTCACTTTCCCTAGGGGCAGGGTCGCCTAATGACAAGTGCAGGGAGGGTAGGGGAACCTGGGCCCACACTACTCCACCGGGTTATGACCCAGGGCCCTTCGAAACCAGGTACCCTGTTATAGGTTTCCGAATCCCTAAGTGCATCCCCTGGGCCATTTCCTACCCTTTGTTCTGTCTCTGGCAGTTCTTCTGCTGGTTGCGGCACATCGTCCCCTTCAGTCCCCACGGGCAACTGGCTCCCCAGGGTGCTCCGCCTCAGTGCTTTGAAGTCCTGGCGGCTTCTTGGCTGGAGCCTGCTGCACACATCTGCTCTCCTCCTTAGCCAGCCCAGACTGAGCTAAGCTGTTCCCTTTTATATGCTCCCTCCGTGAAAGCATGCCCAGCAAGGGCGAGGGGGTGTGGCCTGTTCAGCCCAAACCCGTCACAGGATCCTGGCCCACAGCGGAGAATGGGGACAAGGGGAGCCAATTACAACTCCCATGAGGCACTACAATGCCTATTCTCAGCCAAACTCTTTCAGTTTAGAGTTTGATGAAAACTTCTAATTTCCCATCATTTTTTTTTTTGGATGAAAACAAATGGACAATTTCCATGAGGAAAAAAAATCAGACCATCTCTACTGGCCACCGCAGTCTGTGCACTGATCTTGGAGTGAACCACATTGTATGCCCAATGGGGGAGAGACCTGAGAGAATATAGAGATTTCTGGAGCTCAGGGGTAGAAAGAAAGAAAGAGAGAAGAGACCATTTTTAACCCTCCTTCCCTACTGTTACTCTGCATTTGGAATAACCATTGGTAGTGGTAGTGGTATGTCTGCTTAATGTTTGCCAAGGACAGCATTAGGTGCAATGTGGGGCAGCTGTAGCAATATATCTCTGGGCTAAAACATTCCCTTGACCAATATCCCTGTCTAATTAGGATGAAAACGGAGCTGGATTATCTGATGAAGACATACGTGCTGAGGTGGACACTTTCATGTTTGGGGGTCATGATACCACAGCCAGTGGGATCTCTTGGACCTTATACTGCCTGGCCATGTACCCAGAGCACCAGCAGAAATGCAGAGAAGAGATACGGGAGCTTCTGGGAGACCGGGAAATCATTCAGTGGTGAGCGCTCACATCTTATTTCATGTCATTTCCTCTCAAGATTATGTCTGGTGAATTAAGATATTCTTGAGCGTTGGAAACCAAGAAGTCCCTGAAACTCAGGGCATCAGGCAGCGTGGTATATTGCCCTGATATTTAGTTGATCCAAAGCCCAGTGGTAGTCTGAGGGAGTCTTTACAATGACTCCAATGGTCTTTGGATCAGAGTTTTGAACAGGATTTTCATTGTCTTTAACATGGATGGCTTGCAAGAACATTTCACGTTTTGCGTGTAAATGGAGACTGTCAAATAGCTGAGGGTTCAGCTGGCTCTGATTTACTTATATATTTAAAAATCCAACTCCCCACATTAAACACAAATAGACACTAACTTTGTGGGACCCACGGTTTTAAAAAAGTTTCACGCTCTTGTTCTCCACTGTCTGGCTCTTCAGGGGCATTCAGTTAACACGTGCTAATCCCACAGCTGTGCCTGACATCACTGATGAGACTGACATAAACAAGCGAATTAATGGCGCCATATGTGACTTTCAGATCCATTAAAAATAAGCGGATGCTACCCCTGGAAATCGGTGTTGCAAAGTTGTCATAAAAATCTACCAGCATGAATGCAAAATTTTATCGCCCGTCATCCAACCCTCTAATCTAGATAATTAAGTAGCTCTTGTCACTGTATCAAGTATCAGAGGGGTAGCCGTGTTAGTCTGGATCTGTAAAAAGAGACAAAGAGTCCTGTGGCACCTTATAGACTAACAGATGTATTGGAGCATAAGCTTTCGTGGGTGAATCCCCACTTCGTCAGACGCACGTAATATGTATGTGAGCCTTGGATGATAATGAGAAAATTAAGCAATATTTTACTTGTCCATCAAAAAGTGTAGTGGTCAAAGGCAAGCTGAATTTTGTAACCCTGTTTTAATTAGGGTCACTCTCAGATTAAACCACTTGGACTGAGCTGGGAGTAGATTTCAATCATGTTCTGTGAATATTCAAATGGTTTAATGAGTTCCCATGGGCCTCCTTGCATTCTGTCCCTTTGGCTCTCTGAAAATGTTCACGCGATTAGGTATTATTGGCATGGATTTTTGTGGGAAGCAAATTTCAAATCCACGTGCATGAATATTTGTAGGAACCAAATTTAAATGTGCCTAGACAAAGGTTCCTGTTGGTAATGCTTGTGCCCTCATTCAACCAGGCAACGTTGTACTGTATAACCGATCTGTCTAATCACAACTAAGCCACATGACTTAAATTTCTAGTAGAAAGTGCCGGAACCTTTCAGCAAACTGTTTGCAATCAGTCACAACCCACAGAGTAAAAACATAATATTCCATGAGCAGAAAAAAAGGAGACTGAATATGCTAAGTCATTTTTCACTGTGGTTTCTTTACTCACCTCAAATGCGTATCTACACAGCTTTGTACACTCTTTAGGCACTCCTCTCCAACTTTTTACACACAAGATCACTTTTTGAATTTAAGTGCAACCCAGGATCTACCCCGCCCCTTCCCCGAAGCCCCGCCTCACTCACTCCATCCCTCTCCCCACTCTCCGTTGCTCTCCCCACCCTCACTCCCTTTCACCGGACTGTGGCAGGGGGTTGGAGTTCAGAAGGGGATGCTGGGCTGGAGCTGAGGGGTTTGGAGTGTGGGAGGGGCTACAGGGGGGGGGTCAGGGCTGGGGCAGGGTTTGGAGTACAGGAAAGGGCACGGGTGCACGCGGGGGTTTAAGATGCAGAAAGGGGTATGGAGTGCTGGCTCTGGGAGGGGGTCACAGCTGGGGCAGAGGGTTGGGGTGCAGGAGGAGGTAAGGGGTGAAGGAGGAGGTATGGGGTGCTGGCTCCAGGAGGAGGCTCAGGGCTGAGAGCTGAGAGTTGCATAAATAATCATAAAAATGAATGACAGCTTTTGTTGGCTGTGTAGCCACTCAGCCTTTCCCACCCAAACCCTCTGTCCTTTCAGAAACTGGGGAGGCGTGCCAAGGAAAGCAAGTAGAGAGCATGCAGACAGGCCAGGATTTTAAATGTAGATCAACTGCTTTATGTTTCAGGAGGAAACTATGTGCCCAATCCTGCAAACACTTGTGACTAAGCCAACAGTGCAAGTAGGCCGGTACCCTCCGGTACGCCGTGCCAGCAAGCTATTTATAGCCAGTATGGAGTACCGGAAAGACACAGCAGCAGGAGGAGGAGGAGAGGGCTGTGGGGCAGGGCTGGGGGTTCTGCTCCTTTCCCCGCTGCCCTTCCCAGAAGGGAAAGGAGCAGAACTTCCATCCCCACCCCCTGCCCTTCCACGGATCGGACACGCTGGACTCATTGGAAAAGCAGAAGAGTTACAGATCTAGGCAAAACTAACCAACAAAACAAGCTCAGGGGATATGACCCCATGGCCACAAATTGAAAGAGAAGGAATAGTTCACAAAGCCTTCATTAAGCAAAGCCACTGTGGTCCCCATAGTGCCATTAGCTGAGCAACGGCCATTCTTATATACTGAGGTGGCCAAACTGACTGACCCTCCGAACCGCATACCATAATCTTCAGAAGTTCAAGAGCTGCAAGACATCCACAACCTGGTAGGTGGAGAATGGGGGGTGGGCTCCGTGAGCCGCATTTTAACTGTAAAAAGAGCCGCGTGTGGCTCACGAGCCATGGTTTGGCCCACGAGCCATGGTTTGGCCACGCCTGTTATATATATCATTATGACTAGGGTAAATCTTCATGGCAGAGTTATTCTGGGCTACAGCCTGGGTGTTATCCTACCCTCCCTCTGGTTCACAGGGCAAAACCTAGGCTTGAGGATACTCTGAGCTGAGCTAGCAGGCACAGCTGAAGGTATAGACATGAACTCAGGTTTTGCTGCAGGCTGGCTTGAGCACCCACCTACTTTTCAGTGAGAACACAAGGTAATCAAGCCTGGGTGCTGTAAATCCTCTAATCCTATCCCCCTGAATCACCGGACTTACTTTCTGCTGATTTTCATCACATGGGAGAAAATTAAACTGTATTTTACAGGCTTAAAAAATAGAATCAAAGGAAAGAAGTTGTCAGTGTAAAAGCCAGCTAAGCAGGTCTAGTGAAAATGATCATTTTAGACAGAACAATACGGTCAGCAGCTCAGCCTGGATACTGGGTGTAGGTTTTGTATGCAGTGTGGATTCTCAGCCGAGCTATTGCATCGAGAAGGGTGTCACTCAATTTCTCTTGCTTGCAGGGATGACCTGGGTAAGATGCCTTACACCACAATGTGCATCAAGGAGAGTATGCGCATTTTCCCGCCGGTGCCCCTTGTGAGCCGCCAGCTCAGCAAACCCATCACGTTCCACGATGGACGTTATTTACCAGAAGGTCGGTTTACTCCATTTCCCCTTTCTGGAGTCTGCACCCTGTCTTGCTGGTTGTTGAGAGCTACAAATTGCTTCCACAGCCACTCCATTAAGCCTCACCAAGTCCGGGCTTACTAAATGGGCCATGTAGAATCCTGAAGTTATTTGGTCTCGAATTGGCCTCTGTTGGGTCACATAGTCCATCTGCCTTCATTATTGCTGCATCTGAGCCTATGATCCCTAGTCGATGGGTCTAAGAACTAGCCTTAGCTTTGAATGCCTTCTCCAGTCATGGTGATCTCACCATGTTCGTTGCAAGACTTTCGAGGCTTCCCCTCTCTTCTTCCTCCTCGTAACACTGTTGAGAAGCTGAAAGGAGAATACATCCATGAACGTCTCATGCTGCTGACCTCCACAGATCCTGCCCCTTTCTTTCCTCCACACATAGACTACTGCAGTTGTGGGGCTGCAATCGTCCTCCTAGAGCAGTACAGGGAATAAGGGGGACAAAAATGTTCCTCTGGTGGTTAGCAGGGTTGGAGGTGATCATGGTGATGGTGTAGTCCAGTCTTCCCAGTTCCCAACTGCCCCAGGGGAAAATCTCTGTGCCAGCAGATCTGCCCACCCTCAATGGCTGATGCAAAATGGAGCTTCTGCAGTTGACTCTCAGCTGTGGAGTCCCACCTGCCCCCTCACTTCCCTTTCTGTGGAGATGGGGAGACGTAACAGGGGTGCAGGGCCTCCCTGGTGTTGTCTCCAATAGTCCCAAGGGATGTCTAGACTTTGAAGCCTGGACACTGGATGGATATGTTGCCCATAAGGCTGATATGTTGCCCATTTTAAGTCTCCCACGTAATTCCAGTTGATGTCCACAGCCATAGAGTCAGGCTGAGATGAGGAGCTCCAGCTGGTTTCATGTCAAAGAACAAGATATTGTTATTATTAATTATTATTATTATCCAGGAAGAGCTAGATATTATTATTGCTCTTATCACCAAAGTTCGGGGGAGCGCTGTAATACCTTCCCACTGAGCAATTGCACTGGGATGGGTGGCCTGAAAATGGGGGTGATAAAAATGCTAGCTACAGTGGTTGTAAGAACGCTTAGCCCCTCAGAGAACATAGCTTAAGCAGAGAAGCTATGTCTAAGACCTGTCTTTTTCTTGAGCTTTTTATCTCTTCTGTTGCTTTGCAGGCACTTTGGTTGGAATAAACATCTATCTTATACATAGGGACCCCAACTTATGGAAAGATCCTGAGGTATGGTATTTTTTGTCTTTATAACAATAACCTGCTTCCTGCAGCTACTATACTGGGGTAGTGACCGGGGGGTGGGGGGGCAGTCCTGGATCAGGTCCCCATTGTGTTAGGTGCTGTACAAACACAGAGCAAGATCCTGGCCTTTGCCCCATAGAGATTACAGCCCAAATTGCTCAGACAGAGAAAAGATGAAAGGGGGCAAAAAAGAAAGGGGAAGTGACTTGCCAAAGGTCACACAGCATTTCAGGACATAGAATCCAGGTGGCCTGACTGCCAGGGCTGCATCCTTATCCACTGTATCATGGTACTGCCTATTCAAAGGATGTAATAAAGCTCCCTGCCACACCTGGTTCTGTTGTGGCCCTCTGGCTGGAGACACATCTAATTTACAATGCTATAATCTCACTTATGCAACCATGACACAGAGAGGCCATCATTCAGCGAGCAACAGGAATACGAGAAATCAGCCGCCAATCTAAACAGGAGTGCTACAGTGATGTTATCTCTTCTGAGTTATCAAACACTTTCATTACAGGTATTTGATCCCATGAGGTTTTCGCCGGAGAACTCCTCCCAGAGACACTCCCATGCCTTCATGCCTTTTTCAGCTGGAGCAAGGTGCGGTATAGCATTAGTATTCATGTCTAGTTAGTGCCACAAACCTACGCAGTGCTTTACAAACCTGCAATCAGTGCTGCCAAGAGCTCAGGCCCGGATCCAGATGGGAGTTTTGCCACTGACTCCAACGGGAGCAGGATGAGGCCCTACGGCAGACAGGAAAAAGGGAGAGAAGATACTATAAGGCAACAGAATGGGACATGGCATAGAGAGATCATCGGCCAGGAAGACAAGGCAGAGCAGATTCCTGGGGAAGTGGGTTTTAAGGAGGCATTTGAAAGGGGAGAGAGTGCACTAGGTAGACAGGAAATAGGAGATTGTTCCATGTACAGAGAACAGTGTGAAGCCAAGAATGGGAGACACAGAAGGGATTGGAAGCCTCCAGCCCCTTCTTCTGAGGCTGCCAGCTCCTAGTTTGATCCCTGGAGTAATTTAGAGCAGCCTCAGAGCTGCTTTACATTACCCTGGATGTCATGGGGCCATTCCAACAGCCAGAGATTGGTATTTCAGTGCAGAGATCACCCTTTCCCACGACACACCCCCTACACTGGGGACCAAGAAGTGGACTGGCACAGGGGTCGCTATGACAGCTTTATGCCCCCACAAAGTTTTCTCCCCATGGAAGTGAATGGGTTAGATTCCCAGCTCGTGTAAGTCTGTGTAGCTCCACTGAAAAATCTTTTAAATCTTCTATTAAAGATACAGAAAAGAAGGAAAAACAATTCAAGCATTTGAAATGTAAGGTATTAAGTAAGGCTTTCATTTTAACAGCATGCCTTGATCCCTTTCCCTTTAGCCGGAGCGAGTTTTTAGAAGGAAAACCCTCCTATATTACAGTCTCTTCGCTGGTATTAAAGATGGCAATAACTGTCCTTTTTGGGAGAAAGAGAAGTTAGTTGAGGTGGGCTGGTGCTGTTGTTGTTAAAACCCAGTCCCGTTTCCTAAAAGACAGAAGAAGACAAATCCACACAAGAGGGGAGAAAAGAACAGCAAGGACAGGAAATGCAGCTTCTGTCTCTGGTGTTGGCTTTTACTTGCAACCTCCGCGCTGGAGAAACAAGCGTGGGACATATTTTTATTAGCCGCTCCGAGACCTGGCAAACTCATACCAGCCGTGGACTGTTTAGAGCATTGGTTTTCAACTGCCTCTGTGATCACAGGCTTACAGCAGCACAGCAAAATAGACAGTCTCGGCCGGCTAAGCCACTCTTATTAGACAGAAGGGAAAAGGAAAGGAATAGGAAAGAGAAGGAACAAGGCAGGAAAGGACAAAATCTCACATCCCAGGTGGCGGTTGGGATCTAGCCTGAGCCAGTGGAGCTGGCCATGTCATCCGAGTCTCATTGTGCTTGGGATGAGGATGACAAAGGCCAACAATGGCCAAGTAGCTCCCGGGGTCCCAGGAGATGGTGGTGGTGGCTGCCCTGATGGCAAAGCTTGCTCCTCTCTATTTACCTGTCCCCAACCAGCAGCTGTCAGACAGCTTCTTCTCCTTTAAACGAAAAGGGAATTTTGAGCAGAATATTTTTTTCTCATTACCGCGTTCACCAGTTAGGCCTAATTTCCAACACACCAGTTTTGGTCCTTTGATTTCCAGTCCTGCACTTCTCTTGATTTCCCGACATGGTCTAAACACATTCCCTGAGTTAGATCAGGAGGCCTTTTTGCTTGGACTAATTCAGTTTGTTTCCCCTTTGCACCTTTCCCCATCAACATGGGTTGTTATAGATTATTGTGACACTTTATGGACGTTCACTCACTTGTCACAGCTGGGCTTGCAATTAGGGTATATCCGCAGACCCAATTATCACACCTCCTTTCCCAAGATCTGCCCCCTACACCTGGGGATTACAAGTAGCATGGCACAGGGGACACTAAGACAGCTTTATACCCGCACAGAGATTTCTGCCATGGTGGGCTCCATAGAAGTTCATGGGCCAGAGCCCCCAGCCGGCGAAAATCAATCAGTGTAGCGCCATTGAGTTCCTATGACTTAATCATTCTGTAAATAACAGTTACAAAAAAGGCACAAAATCTGCCTCACCCGGACACTGATTAACACAAGTTAGAGTGTTTTCTTCTCACACCTGACATAATATTAAACCACACACTTTAAAAGTACAGACATAGCTGGAGGCAATGGGGTTTTGTCATTTGAAGCTTGGTAAACAAACTCTAAGTAAAGCGATTTGATTCTTTCCTAATTTAGCTTCTGAAAGGCCCCTCCAGCAGGGGATAAGTGACTCCACCTTCTCGACACAATAGGGAGAAATCCAACCCTATTGTGCTTTTCCATATCATTTACACATTATTACACGGTTATGCTGCCCTTCCTGGCTCTGCTGAGAATATCAGGGAAACATGGGACGTGATCCTACCTATTCAGTACAATCTGATTTAGGATACCAGACGCATCATTTGCCACTGTGCAACTGCTGTTTTATTCCAGCATCAGTCTGTTGAAATCAAGGGCATTTCACCAGCACTAAGCAGGAGTCAGAGAGCAGTGAATCAGGCTCAAATGATTCAAGATCACATTCTGATTGGTCATATCGGCCTTCTTCATGAGGTTACGATAAGCCGGAAGAATGGCTGGGGGGGGGGGGGGGGAGATACAACTGCAGTCGGCAAGGTCTTCCTCAAGGCATAATATTTATAGCAAAAAGGCAAATTAAGGAATCAACCCAGCCCTGTGACCCCGAGCATGGAACCTGCTCCTGCCAAAAACATTCTCTCGCCTCTCTATCTCCCAAGCAACGATTTATAACCCTGTCCCTAAGCACCTGGGAAGGGACAGGGGGAAGTTGAGTCGAGGTTAACCCCTTATTTGCCAAGGATCAGATTCAGCCGTGTGCACACGGTCACAATCACCAACTCCCAAGGATGTCTGGCTGCAAGCTCATCACCCACACAGAAAGGAAAGCCCGCATACCTGTGACATTCAGAGGGTGGGGAAATAAGGAAAAGGGGGTGGGCGGAAAGGGGGTAGGCAGTGCTGTCCAGTGAGGCAGCTTCTTTTCAAATCAGCCCAGCTACATGTAGAGATTTGCTGGCTGTGAGGGGCGGAAGAGGGGAGATGGGACATGGGTGGGGTTGGCCACTAGAATTTCTCCACTGGCTTCAATTTAAAGAGACATGCCACATTTTCTTCTCCAGCCTATGGCACTTAGCAGTATTTGAAAGGCAGCAGGACTACATCAGAGTTTTCCTTCAAGTGAGAAGGTGAATTGAGAGCTGTTAAGTACATGTTTATGTTTTAAAGGAAATAACTGGGATGTGGGGTCAAGAGAAAGGGGGAAAACAAGAATATAGAAAATGCCAAACATGAGGCCAGCTGCTCCTTCCAGCAGCATGCAAGAAACATTAAAATAATCATTTAGAAGTGCATTGATTGGACCCAGTCCTCATTCATAGACTTCAAGGCCAGAAGGGACCTTCATGATCATCTAGTCTGGCTTCCTGCACATTGCAGGCACAGAACCTCACCCACCCACTCCTTCAGTAAACCCCAAACCTCTGACTGAGTTACTGAAGTCCTCAAATCTTGATTTAAAGTCTTAAGTTACAGAGACTCCACCCTTTACTCTAGTTCAAGCCAGCAAGTGGTCCATTCCCCATGCTGCAGAGGAATGTGAAACCCTCTGAGGGTCTTTGCTGATCTGACCTGGGAGAAAATACCTTCCCCGACCCCAAATATGGAGATCAGTTAGGCCCTGGGCATGTGGGTGAGACCAACCAGCCAGACACCTGGGAAAGAATTCTCTGCTGTAACTCAGAGCCCTCCCCATCTAGTGTCCCATCTCCAGCTGTTGGAGATATTTGCTAATAGCAGTTGTGGTTGGGCCATATGCATTGTACACAATCTCATCATACCATTCCCTCCATAAATTTATCAAGCTCAGTCTTTAAACAAATTAGGTTTCTTGCCCCCACAACTTCCCTTGGAAGGCTGTTCCAGAACTTCATTTCTCTGATGGTTAGACACCTTCATCAAATTTCAAGCCTAAACTTGTTAATGGCCAGTTTATATCCATTTTTGTGCCAATATTGGCCCTTACCTTAACTCCTCTCCCTCAATGATGTTTGTCCCTCTGATGTATTTATACAAAGCAATATCTCCCCTCAGCCTTCCTTTTGTTAGGCTAAATAAGCCAAGCTCCTTAAGTCTCCTCTTGTAAGTTCTGCATTCCTCTCATCAATTTAGTAGCCCTGCTCTGTACCTATTCCAGTTTGAATTAATCTTTCTTAAACATGGAAGACAAGAATTGCACACAGTATTCCAGATGAGGTCTCACCAGTGCCTTATATAATGGTACTAACACTTCCCTAGCTCTATTGAAAATACCTTGCTAAATGCACCCTAGGATTGCATTAGCTTTTTTCACAGCCACATCATATTGGTAGCTTATAGTCATCCCGTGATCAACCAATATGCTCAGATCTCTCTCCTTCTCTGCTGCTTTCAACTGGTAAGTCTGCAGCTTATAGCAAAAAATCTTGTTGGTAGTCCCTAAGTGCACGACCATGCATTTTGTCCTATTAAATTTCATCTCATTTTTATTAATCCAATATTCAAGGTCATCCAAAACTTCTTGTATGATATTTTGGTCTTCCTCCATATTGGCAATACCTCCCACCTTTGTGTCATCGGCAAATTTTATTAGCACACTCTCGCTTTTTGTGCCAAGGTCATTAATGAAAATGTTAATGAAGATTGGTCCCAAGATTTATCCTTGAGGAACTCCACTAGTGATCTTGCTCCAGCCTCACAGTTCACCTTCTAGTATGATCCATTTCAGTCTCCTCTTTAATCGGTCCCTATCCACCTTTCAGTTCTCGTATTAATCCCCATCTTCTCCAATTTTACTAATAATTTCCCATGTGGAACTGTATCATATGCTTTACTGAAAGGCAGGCAGATTAAATCTACTGCATTTCCTTTGTCTACAAAATCGGTTATCTTCCCAAAGAAAGAGATCAGGTTAGTCTGACACAATCTATCTTTTTTAAAACCATGTTGTATTTTATCCCAATTACCATTTATCTCGATGTCTTTAATTACTTTCTCTTTCAAAATTTGTTCTAAGACCTTGCATACAATTGAGGTCAAACTAACGGGCCTGTAGTTTCCTGAATCACTCCCCCACCTTTCTTGAGTAGAGATTCTATATATGCAATTCTCCAGTCACAGGGTATCACCCCCGAGTTTATGGATTCACTAAAAATCCTTGCTATTGGGCTTGCAAGTGTGTGTGTGATTTTTTTTTAATATTCTTGGGTGGAGATTATCCAGGCCCCCAATTTGATCCCATTAAACTGTTTGAGTTTGGCTTCCACATTGAATGTGGTAATTTCTACTTCACATCCTTGTTCCCATTAGCCACCCTGCCACTGGCCCCAAATGCCTCATTACCCTTACTAAAAACTGAGACTAAATGTTCATTTCTGTGTTTGACCAAACTTAGATTATCTCTTTAATCTCCAACCCATCCTCAGTGCTTAGTGGTCCCAGTTCTTCTTTCTTTGTTTTCTTTTTTATTTACCTGGCTAAAGTACCTTTTACCATTGGTTTTTATTTCCTTTGCAAGGTCCAGCTCATCTTGGCTTTTGGCAGTTCTCACTTTATCCTTCTCTTTCTGACCTCCAAGAGGCAGCTCTCCTTGATGATCCATTCTGAGTCCTTTATTCTGTTCTTGCACAGATAAACTATGATGGAAATCAATGGGAGTGAGTAAATAAGAGAGGCAAAGAGCTCAGTATTGGACTCATTCATTAGGGAAAGGAAGAGTTTTCTATTTCTTTCCCTGTTATTTTCTTGTGTCTTTCTCAATGCACTGCATTCCACGGTGGAAGAGTTTTTGCTCAAGATACCTGTGATCTCTCCCCATGCCATACAGCCTCAGTTGAGATTGGCAGCGGTGCTCAAGTGGGCTCGATTGAAAAGAGGGTGGGCTGGTGGGAACCCCTTCTCTATGACAGTTCCTGAGCTCTGGGACAGACTTGAAATCCTGGTCCAAGAAAGCTCAAATCTACTGATCTTCAGAGCATACCGCAAGACACATGTATTTATGTGGGTTCCTATGAGGTGTGTATGTATGTCTTTCTCTTTGAGAGAAATCACTTGTATGTGGGAGAGGGAAGTCAAGTGTTCTGGGGGCAATCTGATTAGTCCTATGGCAGAGGTGCCTAGAACTTTGGATAGTTGTCAATTTGTATTTTTTGTGTAACTGTAATAATAATTGAACACAGTTTGTCTTTTTTTACAAAATTTAAAAAGTGAATATATGCAAATATTAAAGAGTCATAGAATAATAAAATTGGAGAAAGGCCAGAAACATTTATCTTACCGCCCTCAGCTTCTTTATATACATAGAGAATGATGGGGTCTAAATCAGCTGTTACCACTCAAGAAAGAGATTTTGGAGTCACTGTGGATAGTTCTCTGAAAACATCCACTCAATGTGCAGCGGCAGTCAAAAAAGCGAACAGAATATTGTGAATCATTAGGAAAGGGATAGATGATCAGACAGAAAATATCATATTGCTTCTATATAAATCCATGGTACGCCCACATCTTGAATATTGCATGCAGATCTGGTTGCCCCATCTCAAAAAAGATATATTGGAATTGGAAAAGGTACAGAGAAGGGCAACAAAAATGATGAGGGGTATGGAACAGCTTCCATACGAGGAGAGATTAATAAGACTGGGACTTTTCCGCTTGGAAAAGAGACGACTAAGGGGGGATATGATTGAGGTCTATAAAATCATGACTGGTGTGGAGAAAGTAAATAAGGAAGTGTTATTTACTCCTCACGACACAAGAACTAGGGGTCACTAAATGAAATTATAGGCAGCAGATTTAAAACAAACAAAAGGAAGTATTTCTTCACACAATGCAGTCAACTGTGGAACTCTTTGCCAGAGGATGTTGTGAAGGCCAAGACTATAAAAGGGTTAAAAAAAGAACTAGATAAGTTCATGAAGGAAAGGTCCATCAATGGCTATTAGACAGGATGGGCAGGGCTCGTGTTCCTAATTTCTGTTTGCCAGAAGCTGGGAATGGGCGACAGGGGATGGATCACTTGATGATTCCCTGTTCTGTTCATTCCCTCTGGGGCACCTGGCATTGGCCACTGTTGGAAGACAGGATACTGGGCTAGATGGGCCATTGGTCTGACCCTGTATGACCGTTTATATTCTTATGAAAAACAATGGTCCTGCTATGCAGGGTTCTGTAGCTGAACTGTCCTTGGTTTTGCAAAAAGACTACCCTAACCAACAAGGTGCTGCAAAACCAAACCTGCACCTGAGTTTGCCCATCCCCATTATGTTAACAATCAGCCATGCCAGCAGGTGCCTAGATATTGGTGCATTTCTTGAGCGACGAAGGGCATTTTCCTGTCCTTCAGTCCCTCTTTTCAGAATTACAGTGCTTGAAGCTCTGAATTAGTGGCCAAACAATGCACTCCAGAAGTTAGCTGCTCCATTGGTGTAAGTCAGCATTTCTCCTTTTTAGTCAATAGAGTGATGTCAATTTACACCAGCGTTCACAACATATTGCTTAACTAATATGTGATGGCAACAATTCTCTAGGTTACTTTATAGTCAAGCCATATATATTGACGTGGTGAAACACTGGAATGCGTTACCTAGGGAGGTGGTGGAGTCTCCTTCCTTGGAGGTTTTTAAGGCCCGGCTTGACAAAGCCCTGGCTGGGATGATTTAGCTGGGAATTGGTCCTGCTTTGAG